TTTCATTAACCCTCTGGGACTTGGGAAAAGGAAGTGAAGGGTGAGGTGGGGTGGGTGGTAATTGTCCACCTGGCCCTAACTTCTAGATTTGTTTTCTTGCGTTCCAGGTCAGGTACCCCTCACTGCCCGCCCAGCCTCCCCTTTGGGATGCTTGCGATCATTACCTACTTGAGGGGAGGCTCCTACAGCCCAGATTCAGGAGACCTGGGCAGAGGCCAAGCTCTAGCCACCCCTGCATTTGATGACTTTGACAGGAAGAGCTCCCGAATCTCCCTGCCTCGTGATGGCACAGAGTCCTGCATCTCCAGACTGCCCGTCTGGTGCCCTTTACCCTGACTCATTACCACCAATCAGCAATTGGACCAAGGTCCTGGCTTCTGCATCCTGGAATGTTGCAGGGGCGGTTTCCTGGTGTGATTCACCAACAGCTCGAATGTTTCAATCTGACACAGAGACTGACTTGGGGAGGGGGACTCGGTGTCCTCAGCCAGGAAGCTTCCCCAGAGCCTCCCATTCCCTGGGGATCTCTTTCTTTCTGAGCTCACAGTCTCTTTCATCCCAAGGGTCACTGTGTTCCCCCTAAGAAGGCACTCATCCCATCCTCTTTGCTGTTTCTTCCCATGTGTTGCTCTTTCTCCAGCTGTGAGCAGCTGCAGGTCAGTGACATGCATGAATTCCTCTGCTCTGTCTAACTGGAGGCTGGACATGAATAACACTCAGAGTTATGAAAGTCAGCCAGCAGATGAGGTTTATGGAGTACTGTGGCATTAGCACAAGCTGTGGTTAGAATCCCACCTGGAGGAAGGATTCCAAATGATCCAAAATTCGCACCTCTGGCCTAACGGTTGACTACTGTCACAGAGGCATGACAAAGGAGCCTGGGTAAAATCCTATGGCCCTGGCAAGTAGATTTTCAAAAACCAAGCCTGTCTCACTGGCAAAGCCTTAAGTATCCTCTGAAATAGCTCCACCCAAAGGTCATGCTAACTACTGGGGAAGTTAATCCCCTAAGAATATCCTGTCTGTACCCTCTGAAGGTTTAGAATCTAGACAGAACAACTGCTGGTACGTACTGGGAGTAGAGTGGCTCCAGGAGCTGGGAGGAGGCCCGAGTTGGAGTCAGGAAACCTGAGCTCAGGCCTGGCTCTGCGACAATGCACCCCGTGACACTGGGCCTCTTGGTGACTTCACCCCCTGAACCTGTACCCTTATATGCCCAGCAAGGGGCAGCCCTGCGCAGGCACTGCACAGAGATGATGTCAGAAGAAATGGCACATTGTATATAGAAGTACTTTGAAAAGTTTAAGGTGTTATAATGACATGAAGGGTTATTAGAAAGAAGAGCGCTAAGAGATGAAAGGGGCAGGTCTCTGACAGTTCTTAGTATAATTTGCTGGGTAGTAGAAACAATCCCTTATTTGTTCAGTGCTTGATAATTCACAAAGGGTTTCTCTAGGTTCTTTATCTCACCTGAGCCTCATAGTAACCCAGTGAGGCAGGCAGGGTGGGGATTATTTTCCTTGACCACTAATCAGATGGAGAAAAGGAGGCTTCGAGACCATGATTTTCCCGTTGTCTGACAGTCACAGACCTAGGACTAAAACCCTTCTATGTGGCTCTCTATGCTCCTATCATGGGCACTTATGATGCTCTCTCTGTTGCAGTTACTGTAACCCCATGAGGCAATTTCCCATAAGACCTGCATGAACACACCCTGGCAGGCCCCAGAACCCCATGTGACCGGAAGAGGTGGGGCAGGAAGGGGGAGCAGGGTGAAAAGGGGGTGTGGTTACCTCATGAGCACTAGAAGTTGGTAAAAGGCTTTGAGCAAAGAAACAATACAATCAGGGCTATGTATTTAAAAATACTTTCCTTCCTCTTCTCCTTCTTTTCTCTTCCTCCCCTCTTCTTTCCCCTTTTAATCCCTCATTTACCTTATATAATTCCCTAGGAAGAGAAAGAAGAAAACTTGGAGACCTTCCATTATGAGAACCCTGTGTCCAGCTAGCTGGAGCCCTAACTGGCTGGGTCCCTGCATTTATAAGATGCACAGTCCTACCCAGGGACTCCCCTCTCCAGAAGAACAATTCTAGGGGCTTCATGCTCCAAGAACTAGGCCAGGATTCAGTAAAGGAGTACGATGTAGCAGGCATAAGCCCTGGACTGCTTGCCTCCCAAAAGGCTGGAATCACAGGCCCCTGGGTCCCTCTTTGGGCCCCTGGGAAGGGCCTTGCCTCAAGCACTGCCTAAAGTGGCCCAGAATCTGGCATTCCAGTGTGTGCCCTTCTCCAGTGGGTGCCTGACATTCAGAGTGGCCAGGAGGCTGATGTGCACATCCTGGGGTGCTCCCTCCAGGTGTCTGAGCCTCTTCTTTAGCCTACTGGCCTAACTTCCTTCCCATCAGTCTGTGTCCCACATAGATCACATGCCTGGCAGCTGGGTCCCAAGTGAGAGGTTTTAGAGAGGATGCAAACAGAAAAGCTAGCATATGAGCCTTTGTGTGTGTGTGTGTCTGTGTGTGCATGTGTGTGCATTTACATGTGTTGTATGCCTGCATGTGTTGTGTGTGTGCACATGTGCATGCATGTACACACATGCATGAGTGTGTGGCATCCTGGGAGGAAAAAGTACACACTGTCTCCATAGAAAACCTCTGCCTAATTGATCTTGCTCAATATCATATCCCCAGTACTGCGCGAGTACTTGGAACCCAGCAAATATTCTTTGAATAAATGAACAAGTGAACAATAAATGAATGAAACAAGACTAGAACTGGAGCATATCTGTTGCCTGGATATAGCAACCAGGAAGTCCTTGGAGACCTCGCTAGCACGTTTCAAAGGAGTGCCAGCAGGGCAGGTCTGGTGCTCACAGTGGAGGGGTGCAGAGGAGGTGAACAAGGGAACATGGGCAGCTTTTAAGGAGTTTGGAGTGAAGGAAAGGAAGCCATAGGGCAGTGGAAGGGGTGGGGATAGGGGTGGGGATGGGAGAACCTGTTTGAGCAGAAAGGAAGAGTCCTAGAGAGAATGTCACTGGCCACAGCCCTTCTTGCACCCTCATCCACATCAGCATTGTCTGTCTTAGATCTTGGCCTTGCTGCTTCCCCTTCCCAGACTAAAATCAGTCTCTCTTTTATCTTGCTTTCCTTGAACACAGACTTTACACCTTGAGCACACCAGGATCACTAAGTTGGCCACTTCCAGACATTTTTGACAGCCTTTCCAGCTGGTGCTCTGCTTGGCTGCTTTAACAGTGGCCTTGCCTCCCTGTGGGGTTTCCAGAGCCCTCAAGCTTCTGCCAGGTGTGCCTTCCCTCCAAGGAAGCAGAAGATCCTAGTCTGCAAATGCAAGAAGAGCACAGGAAAGGCCCCCTGTACCCCAGTGACACAGATGGGGAGCCTCGCCTTTGATGTTCAAGCTCCTTGTTTGAGTAGCTCCAGGAGGTTTCTATTCCAACCAAATGATACTACAGACCCGCAGCTTGGACATCCCACCGGAACAACTTCAAAGTGTAACCACACACACCCTTTCGGACACCTGCCAGGTCCTTCTCTCTCAACTACCCTGTCCCTGTCATCATTACCAGTACTTGGAATTATATTTTTGTCATGCGCTCATTCACCCAGGATGTACCTCTTACCTCTCCATCTCCTTCTATTCCTATTCTCCCTGCTCTACCCCAAACCTTCCTCACTCTAGGTCTCCATCTCTGCATCAGCTTCCTTCCTGTACCTCTGATTCCAGAGTCTCTCTTCTCCATCCTCCTCTGTAGACCTCCACATTACTTATTTTCCGTTTCATTTTTTGAAATTACGTATTATATCATGTATTTATTCAAAAGAAAATACAAAACATGTATGCGTGATTTAGAGTGAATGTATGTGGGGGGCTATGACCATTCCCATGTTAAGGAACAGAACCCTGCCAGTACCCATTTTCTCTATTTTTTTTGAGAGATTTAGCTTTTTCTTTTCAATTTATTGATTTTAGAGGGCAGGGGGAGAGAGAGAGAAACATCGATTTGTTGTTCCACTTACTTACGCACTCATTGGTTGATTCTTATAGCTGCCCTGACCAGGAATTGAACCTGCAACCTCAGCGTACTGGGAGAACATTCTAACCAAGTGAGCTATCCAGCCAGGGCCCCTGTTGCTTTCTTTAAATGTCTCTTTTATGTTGGTCAAAACCTCAGGAGTTCCCTATTCCTTGTCTAATTTCCCCCGCATGTCTTTAAGGTAGGCCCCATGCTTAATAATCCTCTCCCATGCTGCCTTCACTCTAGTCATTACACTTTGTCTAAGAGCACCAGATCAAAAAACATAAATATGCCCGGCCGGACGTGGCTCAGCAGTTGAGCGTTGACCTAGGATCCAGGAGATCGCGGTTCGATTCCCGGTCGGGGCACATGCCCAGGTTGCGGGCTCACAGCCGATCAATGATGACTCTCTTATTGATGTTTTAATTCTCTCTCTCCCTCTGAAATCAATAATGATATATTAAAAAACAAACAAAAAAACAAAACATCAACAACACATAAATATAATTCTGGTCCCCTCTCTGTCATTGATTAGCTGTCTGACCTTAAATATATTGTCTAGCTTTCTGAATCGTCAGGACTCTTAGTAGCAAGTAACAGAAACTAAATTAAAACTGGCTTAAATCAAGAAGGAAATGTAATGGCTCACCTCTCTGAAAAATCCTCGGAAAAGTCTGGCTTCAGGCACAGCTAGATCTGAAGACCCAAACAAAGTCTCTTGGCTGTGCTTTCCTCTGCGTGGGCTTTATTCTCTTCCCCAATTATTCCAGCAAAGGTCTGGATGTCTCATTCAGTGGCTCAGATCACAGGCCCATCCCTGAACTTCTGTGGTCAGTGGTGAGCCGGCTAGGCCTGGTATGCTCACCTTGGACTCAAAGGTGGAGCCAGAACCCTGGTTGGTCTGAGAGTGAAGAGAGATGCCTTCCCAAGAAAATCCAGGGTTCTAGTTGCTGAAGACGGGAGAGAGGGCTGCTAAGCAAACAAAATCAACGGATATTCTCCAGTTCTCTCTTCTCTTGTGAGTGGGAATCTGTTCTGCCAAATGCTCAAGGATGCTGGAAAAATAAAAAATAAAAAAAGATCAGAGCTATGAAGGTTTTTTGAAACTCTAAAATTCAATAGAAATGGGAGTGATTTTGAAGATGACGATTTGTTTGCCTTTCCCTCACACTGCTCACCTGCTCAGAATGCCCTTTGATTGCTTTATCCAAAGCCTACTCGTTATTGCCCAGTCCAGTGAGAACTGGACCTTTTCCAGCACCTAGAGCCTCTAGGGTACCTGTGGGTCCCCTCAGCATTTAGTTGTCCCACATCACTTAGTAATTAATCAGATATGTTCTTTCATTGTCATATTTATTTGTTGCTTAGGAATATTACAGTGCACCTGACAGTTCTCTACTCCTTATGAGGCACAAGCTACAGTGAATACATTTTAAGAGTGCAGTATATTCCTTTTGGTTGATTTAAAAGTTGACCTGCTAGGTTGGAAAGGTTTCTACTCATATCATAGTTAACTTAGTCTCGGGGCCCACAAATCTCCAGTTGACATCTGGTCTCATGATACACACTTAGTTCCAAAGTTCTGGTGCAACTATGGGCACCTTTCCCAGGTTCCTTGTCCTGGCTTTTGTCTCTTCCTTGGGGGGGTGCCAACTTACCATTTATTTCTCCAGAGCTACTCCCTTTGTAACCAGAGCCAACAGAGATTCTTGCTCTGCCATTCCCTGGAACTCTTCCACCAGCCCCAATTTCTACTTTAAGGAATACTTTTTTTTTTTTGTCCAAGTAACTGGAAGGCAGAACTTGAACATGAAGCTCATGTTCCAGAAGAGGCCCTCTTTCCTCTCTGACAGACAGTGGATAGTTCCTTCTAGCACAACAGGAGGGCCCTGCCTCAACCATTTAATGCCCTTAACAAGCATACAAGACACACATGCATACAAAGTGCAATGAGGGCTTAGAGACAAAGAGCTTCAATCCAAAGAGTTTCTTTCTTTCAGACGAATACCCTTCACTCTGGCAGGCCATGGTGAAAATACATGGGGGCCCTGAGATTTTCCTTTCCTTTTCTTGTGTTTTCAGAAGCCATCCCTAGTGGCTTCGTTTAGATAGGTGGGGCACAGCTTTCCAACCAGGTTTATCCAGTTTTCCCAGGCACTGGAGTGTGCTGAGGCTGCAGGCAAGAGAGGAAGCCCTAACAGAGGAAGTCAGGGTGTTGCTTTCTCAACTTGTGGAGACCAAAGTTGTGTAGCAAGACAAGCTGGAGCAGGCTCAGCATTTCTCTTTCCTGACTTGGGTTTCACCTCGGCCCCAGTTCAGTGGCAGCCGCCTTGGCTCAGAGGGCTGAGGGATCCAAGAGGAGGAAGCTTGTATAATCCCTCATCTAGTAGGGGTGGGGGTGGGGTGGAGTTTTATAGTAAGCTTCTAACAAAGACTGAGTCAGTTATATTGCCCCAACTCTGGATCTGGCTTCTCTTGTTCCTCTACCCTACCCACTTTGCCCTCTATTCACACCAAATTTCTAATCATCCCTGACCATGACAGGCATGACTGCTGTGTACAGATTCATGGGTAGTGCACTATACAATGGAGGTGCCATTCCAATAGACAAAGGAGTGAACAGCAACTCCAAGAATCATGCACAATTGTACGAGATAGCCCTGAGCCAAGACCTTTTATGACTTTCTTCCTTTCCATATATTGCACCCTCTACCAAGAACGCCCTTGTTTGCCTTTCTTCTCATCATCTCTTTACCTGGTGAACCATCCAACATTTAGCTTTCAAATTCTGCTTAAATAATGTTGATGAACACACATGTGACAACTGAATGCTTTTAGAAATGCACAAAGCCATTGGGAAGAAACACCTTAATATAAGAGTCTCAAACTGGCACACTGTTAGCTCCTTCTGCCTGATAGTTTCATTATGCCTATGGGGTTTTATGAAAGGCAATGTAAGTAAAATCCTTTAAACAGCTAAAATGAAAAAGACATAATAGTAAGTGTTGGTGAGGATATGGAACAACTGGAACTCTAATAAATGCTAGTGGGAATGTAAATTGGTACAAGGACTTTGGAAAACTATTTAGTGATGTCTACTTAAGAAGTAGAGATGCCTCGCCTATGATTCAGCAGTTCTATTCCTAGAAATACAAACATATAACACCAAAAAATGAGCAAACATGATGATATCTACACTATTCACAACAGCCCCAAACTGGAAACAACTCAAATGCCATCAACAGTAGAATAGATGAATAATGTGGTATATTCATAAAATGGAATGTTACACAATGATAAAAATAAATGAATTATTGCTTCACAATAACATGGATAAATCTGACAAACATAATGCTGCGTGAAAGAAGTGAGACATAAAAGAATACAAACTACATGATTTTATTTATATAAAGTTCCAAAACAGGCACCATAGTGTTAGAAATTAGAATAGCCCTGGCAGGTGTGGCTTGGTTGGTTGGAGCATTGTCCCATACACCAAAAGGTGGTGGGTTCAATTCCCGGTCAGGGCACATATCCAGGTTGTGGGTTTGATCCCCAATGGGGGTGCCTACTGTAGGCAACCGATTGATGTTTCTCTTTCACATTGATGTTTCTCTCTCTTTCTTTCTCCTTTTTCCTCTCTCTAAACAACAACAACAACAAGTCAATAAAAACATCTCCGGTAAGAATTAAAAACACACACAAATGAACAGAACATCAATTAGCTGATATAACCTTAAGCCCTACATACACGTACCTAGAGTCCCAGAAAGAGGGTGGGGTGGAGGGGCCAGAAAGAAAAAAAAAGTGAGACCAGCCGGTGTGGCTCAGTGGTTGAGCGTAGTTCCATGCACCAAAAGGTTGTCAGGGCACATGCCCGGGTTACAGGCTTGATCCCCAGTAGGGGGCATGCAGGAGGCAGCCAATCCATGTTTCTCTCTCATGAATGTTTCTCTCTCTCTCTCCCTGTTCCTTCCTCTCTCTAAAATAAATAAAAACATATTTTTTTAAAAAGAAAAAATATTTGAAAAAATAACTGAAAAATTTCCAAATTTGATAAAAACTATAAACCCACAAATCAAAGAAACTCAACAAATCCCAAGCAGAAAAACATGAAAACCACATCAAGGCACCTCATAGTCAAATTGCTGAAAAACCAATGATAAGAAAATGCTAAAAGCAGCCAGAAGGAAAAAAAACCACCCGATTATGTGCAGAGGAACAAAGATAAGGATGGTAGCAAACATTTTGTTGGACACATTGCAAACCAGAAAATAGTGGAAAAACATCTTTAAAGCACTGAAAGAAAAACTGCCAATCAAGAACAAAATATCTTTCAAAAATGAAGGTGAAATACCACTGTATAAGTTGTGCAAAAAATATACTAACAATGTTTTTTACTTGAGAGAGGGGACACTTTTCCTAATTTGCAGAAGCTAGTGGTAGCCCTGGCTTTGTGCTACACTCTCCCATTCCTCTTCTTACATCTTAACAGAAATACAAAAGTGAAACTCTGCTTCTGGGTGTGATATAAGACTACTGCATGACTCTTGCCTGCAGAAAACAATGATAAAACCTGGGTTTAACGCAAAAGGAACTACCTAAAGATACTAACGAAAGAACAGAATCAGACAGTTTACCCCCTTCTCTGACTGTTCTCACTGAATGGATAAACAATTTGTGGTATGCCCATGCAATGGAGTACCACTCAGCAATGAAAGGAAACAGACTATTGATGCATGCACAATATGAATGAATCTTACAGAATTATGCTAAGAGACAGAAGCCAGACACAAAACTCTGTAATGTATGGTTTCATTTATATAAAATTCTGGAAAAAGAAAAGCAACAGTGATAGAAAGTAGATCAGTAGTTGCCAGGGCCCAGAAGTTGGAGGCAAAAGATTGACTGCTAAGTGCCATGAGGGAAATTTTTGTTGTAATAGAAATACTCTATCATGATTGTGGTGGTGGCTACATTTGTCAAAACTCATTGAATTGTATACTTAGAGTTGGTAATTTTTACAGTATGTAAATTACACCTCAATAAAGCTGACCAAAAAAGTAAACTAAGTAAAAGGCTCACTTTACACATATAGATTGACTGTTTGCCTCCTCTCTGTTTCCAGCATGCATGAGTTTACAACCCCTGACTAGTATCTTATGTTTTCAAAGCTTTCCACAGTCTTTATTTAACATGTATGCTAGTTGAGATTTGGAAACATGAGAATTTGCCTTTCAGAATTTGTCTTCTTGAACCCCAAGAGAAAGCAGAAGTTATTCAATCTATTAAGATGTAAAAAGAGGAGTGGGAGAGTGTTGTGTAAGGCCAGGGCTGCCACTAGCTTCTGCAAATTTGGAAAAGTGTCCCCTTCCTCAAGTAAAAAACATTGTATTGTGTGTGTTTTTTACATAACCTGTACAGTGGCATGTGCTGGCTCAGCTCCTTGGCTGGACTCAGGCAACCTTCTAGGGTCCTAGCATGGAACATCCATGGTTGGACACAGGCATGCTTACACCCTTGTCCTCTCACACACAGCCCACTGCCACGTCACCCCTCTCCTAGCCTCCTAAGTGAACTATGACAAGTTTAGAGTTGGGGGAGGGGGAGTGTTAGAAGTTGGGCCCCTGAGAGGAACAGGTGGTGAGAGAAGAGACCTCAAGTACACCACAGTGCATTTGAGACAGGCATGGCTATGCACTGGCTGTGAGTGTGTGTAAGCGCTCGCTCTCCCGTCTGTGCAAGGCTGTGCATGCAAGTGGGGGTTTACGTAGGTGGGTGCTGCTCCAGCCAGGAAGCACAGAATGTCTACAACTGCTTACCTATTCTCATTCAAGTTGGTATATGTCTGATTGTGTATGTTGCCTCCTTCAATGTACCTGGTGGCCCTGCGTAAAGATCCCTAAAACCTCTCTTCTTCCTAAGGAGAAACTTCTACCAGTCACCTGAGAAGCAAGAGGTGGAGGTGTTAGATCTCCTTTCTTTCCACACCTTCCCAAATGCCAGTTATATCAGGAATGTCTCAAGGTCTTCGTGCCAATTTCTCTACACAGCA